GAAGTAGGGCGTCTGGACGTTGAGCGTCGGGATGAATATTATGGTAGGAAATACTAAAGTGGTGTTATAAATGATATCGTTGAGCGTCGAGACGTTGACATCTTATTTCTTATACTAGTTTTAATGGCTTTTTGTGACGTCTCTGTGTGTTTTAGTTCCCAGCGAAAAACGAATAAGGGCGGAAAGAAAAGTGGGTGGTAAATTTATTATGTGCTTTGAGAGCTTTGTGTATCGAAATATTGTCGAAATCGGTCTTAACATCGAATCTAGAAAAATAAGCGAGTTAAGTGTTTTAATGATGAGGACTTCGTGAAAATAAATATTTTTTTATGGTGGTTTCAGGTCGGCTTCCCAGACACTTGTACGAAATTTGGATCTTTTAGTGACGTGGTTATAGATATTATTTATTAGATGTCGTAAATAAGATTTAATAATAATAATAATAAATGTCTTTATTAACCAACAAAATACAAGTAAATTAAAATAGAATATTCACTATAGTACCTATATACATAAAAAATAAGAAAAAGGCAAACGTTGGTTAAAGGGCGCAAAATCAGCTAGGCGCTCTTCCTTAATTATCTGAGAGATTTATCGTTAAATGAAGGATTTTGAATTTATTAAGAATGCAATATTATATTTAATAAATGGCATTAATACATTATTAAAGTACCTGGATGAGGTAGGTTACAGTATTGAAGTAAATAATATTTTTTAGGAATTGTTTAAGCAATTTCGTTTTAAACAATGACAAACTGCATTTAAATAATATTTGATATATTTTTAAAGGATTTTGACAAAAAATTAAAAAAATAGTGCTTGTATATAGACCAGTAAGTAGTCATACAAATCGAAAAATTTAACTTTTTTTAGACTTCGTGGTAAGATAAAATTCCGAATTAATCCAAACTTGGCCATTCGATACAAGTCGGCAATATTGTCAAAAATGACAAAAAATGAAATTAATGAATTGCTGGTCGGTCAAAAATTTAACATAGCTGCAAATTTGATATCATTTTCATTTCAATATTTAAGATCTAAAGCTGAATTTGCAGCTACTTATGACTTTGGCAATGTAATTAATTGCTGTTAATTAACAGTATTTGATCTCATTTAGCAATCAAAATATTAACATGCTTGTAAAATGACAGTATACTCTCTAATATCGCCTAAAATGCCTGTGAAAATTTGCAATTTTTTCCGCTGATGGCAATATGCATTTTTTTTTTAAGTTTACAAGGGTTTTCTTTTTTATTTATTTATTTTTATTTATTTAAAAATAATTCGGCTAAATTATAACATGTGCAAATATTGATTGCTAATGGCCGTATTACTTCAAAATGAACTTAAAACAAAAACTAAAGCACTTTTTTATTTTCTAATAGGAATCAAAGGTCTAATTTAGTAAATCGAATTCTTAACTAATTGGTGCCTATTTTATTTTTGTTTGTGATTGGATGGTGTCAGTCAAGCAACTTTATTTACCTTACCACAGTTCTATTATAATTTAATTTTTTTCCTTTTCTTTATTAATGTGTGTTCAGCCTCTGCGTAGACTTTGTTGATATCCTCCATCGCTACTCAAGGAACAGCACTGTTAATTAGAAACTAAGTGAATGGTCGAGTTGGAAATCCTACCTATGTATTACTATAATCAATTTTTAACTCCAGACTCGTAACCATTAAATATTTTATTTGAATTTAAACATATTTTAAATTTAAATTACTGTAATATTATGTTTATTATATGATGTATATGTTTATTAAAATTTAAGGTACTTTCAAATATTAAATTATTTTAACAATAATAAAAATATGAATAATAAATACGCTGTTGCTAGGTACACGCTAAAATGTACACAAATCAAAAAATTATATACACGCGAAACGTCATATTGCTGTGGTGGGAGGTGTTTGTGTGAATGCGTCTTGTTTGTTTTCATTTACGCCGTGACTAGCAGTAGTATTTTATAAACCTTAGAAGCAAATTTCACATACACAAATAATAATAATGTCGTGACAACAAGAAAACGAAGCAACGACTTCTCGTAGGGTGGCGGCATAAATACCAACGGCCTAGACACAGCTCACCTACTCTGTCAAGACGTTTCGCGTGTATATAACTTTTTGAATTGCGTACAAGTTAGTGTGTACCTAGACACTGTAATAAATAACAGTTTTTAATAACAATATTCTTCTAAACGTCTCATTTAAAGATTTTATTATTTGTTTTTACATAAATATAATCAAAAATTCCGATGCATTGTTATAGTCCATTTCAAATTATTAACACTTTTTTTGATATTTACTTCTAATACATCTCTCATTTTTTTTTATTTATTTAAATTGTTTAGATTTTATTATACTTAATCGAATCTGACTAAATAAATATGGAAATCGGACAATATATAAGTCGAGAACGCATCGATAAATTCATCAGTGTCAGTTTCCATTGTTCTTATTTCAAAGATCTCGAACGTTGAAAAACATGAAGCACCTTGAATTAATTGACAGGTATTTCATCACGAGAACGACGCGCATATTTTAGCATTAACAAAGTGTAATATTTAAATTACAATCATCAATTATTATCGGTAGTAGTTGTGGTTTCTTTGTCGTAGTTGTAGGGCATGATGTTAGAGTACGAGATGGTAGTGGAAATGTTATGCAAAAATCATGGTTTGGCGCTTTTAACGTATGTAATAAAAGTTTTGGCAAAACTTGCCTCGCACATCTGGTAATTTAAATGTTGTATTGTTTCGAGAAACATAACCTTTTAATTGTGACCAGATCAGTTCAATGGGATTTAACTCTGCGTGATAAGGAAGCAATATGAGAATTTTAATTCCTTTTTCTTAGGCCATCGCGTCTATAATATTTTTTTTTAATTTGTTTTTATGTTGCCTTGCTATTACGAGTAATTCTGCCTTCAAGGATTTAGGAAGAATGATAATATTTTTAGAATGAAGCCATTTTGAAATAACTTCTTTTTTCCATCTTGCTGTTGGTAGTGACTCCTTTAATCGACTTTGATGGGATGCATTATCCAAAACAATAACGGAGTTGGTTTTTTTTATAATGTTCTGAAACCAATTTTCAAACATGTGCCCATTCATTTCTTCAGGTTAGTCTTTTGTTTTCTTTGACTCGACATTAATAAACCATATGGCAAAAATCCATCGGTGCTTCCAATGTAGGTTATTATTAAACGATTTTTTAATCCACAAGAGACCCCTTCCATAAAGGCTTGTTTTTTAGTTTTGAAGGAGGTATCTTGCCAAATTTTAGTTACTGTATGTCCAGCATTGACCAATGTTTCATCTAAATTCCTTGCGTTCGCTATTTTCCTTAAATAATCATGTCTCCATGCAATGAGTTCGTCTTTCTTTATTAAAAAGCTGTTTCTGTCACGTTTTTTGTAACAAAATTTAATTCATATAATATTTTTCATTTTTGAATGTAATTTTTAAGTGTAGGAATTTCATTTCGAAAGAAAAACGAATATGCCTTATACATTCTTCACCCAAGTTTCAATAAAGGTCTTTTACTTCCTGGGGGTCGATTCTCGACTCGTAGGAATATTTTCCTATAGGAATGTTTGACATTTTTACATACATCGAAAATTTATGACATTTTCCTACATATAGGAAAGTGTCACAAATTCCTATAGGAAAAGGTTCCTACAAGTCGAGAATTGACCCCCTGGGGGCTTTTTTGGATGTAATACTTCTCCAATCTGTATCTTCTTTAATAATATTTTACACTGTCTGCTTAGATACTCTATGTCTCACATTTAGTGACTATTTTATCTAGAGAAAGTGAAACAAAGTCTTTTTGAAGATTATTAAATACATTAAGTACGATATTTTTTTCTTCTAAAGATAATGCTTTATGTCCACTAGGTCGTCCACGCGTACTTGTGTTTGCAATATTTTCTAATGCACTTGCGATTCTTATATAACTGTAAAATTATAATAATACTAATAAAAAAATTCCGAATCAATTAAAATACATACTATATGGCTGTGAATAAATGAAGACTTATTTGTCACAAGAAAATGTTTATGACAGTAAAAACCATGAAAACATGATTAAATCTAATCAAAAACGTTTATTAACTGCAAATAAGCATTGAAGGATGAGGTATAAATAAAATGTCTGCCTCTTGAACCTGTACTACGTTTTGCAAATTAAATTACTGCACTCCTTTCTTCTCTAGGCTTAATGTTATACATTTAGTGAACACTTTTTGATATAAACAACCACATAAGACTCTTCTCCTTTCCTCTACACTCCATAGGCAACACAAATATTACTGTCAAAAATGTATTACTAGATTTTCCGAATTTTTTTAATAAATGATCCAACAATAACTTACTAAATAATTTATATCCATCGTTAGATGAAAATTGTAATGTTCAAAATATTGTTAAATGCCTAAAAGACATCCATATCACAAGTCCCAGACGTGATGGCCCGGCTACAGTTTGAGTTGGAAGCCGAACTCGCAGGTCTCAGGGCCCACTTAGACGATGGAATGGGTAGAATGCATGAGTTGAATGAATGGGAAGGGGTAGGACATCCAAATGATAGTACAAAATCCTGATTGGGAGGAGTATGCCGGAACCCCTTAGAAGGGAGCAGAAGGATGCCTGATATGGTAAAAAAAGCCATCCATATGTTTCACAAACTGTATTTGCTTTTGGATAATTTTGTAAACAATTTCAGACATTGTCCAGATAAACGGTTCCTGAGATATATAGCCAAACGCCGCCTTTATACTGATTTTAATTTTCTAAGTCAAAAAGTTTGCAATAAGCTGCGCCTGAAAAACATTGTATTTTTCTTCTTTTATACGCACGAAGGCAAGTCAAAAAGTTAGCAATAAGCTACGCCTGCGAAACATTGAATTTTTCTTCTTTTATACGCACGAAGGCGACCAAATCCGACACTCACAATAGACGCATTTTTTTTTAATATATATGTTTGTCTTGTTTCAGTTCCAAATGACGATTCTGCCACCGCCGCCGTACGACACGGCAAGGAAGAAAGAGCCCTCACCAACATTCAACACGGAGAGAGAATCATGTCTGAAATATTTCGAGAAATGGAGCGAATCGGATCAAGTGGAATTTGTGGAGAATCTGCTGGCTAGGATGTGCCACTATCAACACGGACACATCAACTCCTATCTCAAGCCCATGTTGCAGAGAGACTTTATTTCCTTATTGCCAAGTGAGTATTTTGCCCAACTATTCATTGATAAAAGTGTAATATTGGTGGATGGGGTGTTCCTCACCTCCAAGTCAAATGGCACCATCATTCATCTTTAAGTCGCCTCAGAGCGCCACGGCAAATAATAATAATAATAATAATAGCCGTCCCTTTCTCCGGATAAGCTCAACTTTTGGAGTTAAAATTCACTCGTAAGGGGGTGGGGAAAGTATAATAATTATTATTTTTGTGTCATCGGCTTTAACTGCTAAGATTATCTTGCCTCGTGTTCTGTGTAGGCTTTGTTACTGTTTCCCAGTGCCACTTTATGAACAGCACTGTTAATAATTAGTGAATTAGTGAATGGGAATCCTACCAAGGCATCAGAATTAATTTTAAATAAAAAAATCCCGGCTAACGGTGTGATTCGAACCTGGGACCCTTGGATCTGCAGGCAGAGACTCTACCACTGAGCCACCAACCCCTCTATTATTATTTTTATTAATATTTCTACAGTTTATTTTAATATTTATTTAAATTTTGAAGTCTATAGACTAATTAGTTTAAAAATGGCGATGAAAAAAGGCAACAATGTCAAATTGTTAAAAAAATTCAAATTCAACTTTGAAACCCTGTAAAATAAAAATTTGATGAAATTTTAAACTTTGGTCTTCTAAAATATGTTTCTACACTTTTTGTTAATAGTTTTTTTAAATTTTGAAGTCTGTAAATTAATTAGTTTGAAAATAGTGATAAAATAAAAGCAACAATGTCAAATTGTTAAAAAATTAAAATTCAACTTTGGCACCCTGTACTTAAAAATTTGGTGAAATTTCAAAATGTGGTCTGCAAAAATATGTTTCTAGACTTTTTGTTAATAGTTTTTTAAATTTTGAAGTCTGATAATTAATTAGTTTGAAAATAGTGATAAAATAGAAGCAACAATGTCAAATTGTTAAAAAATCCAAATTCAACTTTGGCACCCTGTAACTTTAAAATTTGGTGAAATTTCAAAATGTGGTCTGCAAAAATATGTTTCTACACTTTTTGTTAATAGTTTCTTAAATTTTGAAGTCTGTAAATTAATTAGTTTGAAAATAGTAATGAAATAAAAGCAACAATATCAAATTATTAAAAAGTCCAAGTTCAACTTTGGCACCCTGTTACTTCAAAATTTGTTGATATTTCAAAATGTAGTCTTCAAAAATAAGTTTAATCAAGTATGTGAGTTGCTGTCAAAATAGATGAAAATCAAGCACTTTGCATGATAGTCGATAGGAGATAGTGAAAATACACGGAAAAAAATGTGACTAGAAAATTTTACTACAATGTTGTAGTAGTAGACTTGTAGAAAAATACTTAACAATTTGTAGAAAATTTTACTACAATTTATAGTTAAAAACTATTAATTATTGTAGCAATTGAATTGTCGAATAAAATGCTACAACAATAGTAAAGAAGTCCACAATGTTTAGTATATTTTACTATTGTTTGTAGAAGTAGAAATTTATTACAATTATCGTAATTACTACTACTAACTTCTGTAAAAATTTGTACAAATATTAATAATTATCTCTACAAAAAATAGTAATTTTCTCTACAAAAAATAGTAATTTTCTCTACAAAAAATAGTAATACTTTACATCCCTTCTTCAAAAATATTCTATAATATTGTAGAAATTCTAAGTCATGTGAACAAAACAGAATTCTGCTATTGGCCAACGTTTTCTGACGTCGATCATAAACGGCCAGACAACAGTAGCCGTTCGCCATGTTCACATAACCAAGCATGGTGCATATACGAGTACCTATAACACATTATTATATTATAAGCACCGATGCGTTTGAGAAAATTTTAATAATAAATTCTATTGCTGGTAAGTACATTTATTATTGTTTCTGAATAATTTACCTTTAGATAACTAATTTAAATAACCTTAGTAGATTATTTTAAAAAAATAGTTGTGCCCAACGATCGAATGTTGTGCCCAACGATCGAATTTTGTGCCAAGTTCAATGATGTTTTTTGTCTTAATTGTGACATACCTACTTTCTCATTTTTGTTAGTTATCTGACTTAGTCATTTAATATCCAAATCAGTGTAAAGGTGATAAATATCCCCGTTTTAAGGGTATGAACAATTCAATTGGTATTAATTTTTATTTCATATTTTTCAGGTGCAGAAAAGCCAACTGAGACTGAGGGCGCTATTATTACTGTTATTTATTACATAATGTAATTAAGAATTTGTATCTTTTATATTAAAACAATAAATTGAATATTTTATTAAGGAACATTTTTTTCTAGGTTATAATTATAATAATTATGGAATACTACTACAAATTTTATTAAAAATTACTACAATTTGTATGAATTTTTACTATTTATTGTACATTTTTAATATAAATTCATACAATGAATAGCAAAAATTATAACAATTTGTAGAACAATGCTTATGATGCATTTGGATCTTTTACTAAATATTGTAGATAATAACTCTACAATACATTCTCCACAAATATTTGGAAATTTTTACTACAAATTGTCCCTGTCCCTATATGTACTATTTATTGTAGAGAAAAAATCTACAATTGTAGAAATTTGTTCTACAATTTTTTTTCCGTGTAATCGATTTATTTAGTTCCGGTTGGTTCTACCAATAACGTAAATTGCGATGTGATTAGCTAAAATGTCAAAGTTGACAGGCGAGTGAAATAATCAGTTTAATTAGGCATTCCAAACTGAATGGCTACCAGTGGGTTCTGACGGGTTATGATATGGCAAAATTATGGCAACCCTGTAGGCCTGGTGATTTGACAAGTTCAATGAAATAGATAGTTACATAGATTCATCATCCATATTTTTCAAAATAAACAAGCTTATGCCTTGAAGTAAAAATGTAAGCAATTATTTTTTTTTAAATATCTAAAGGCTAAAAATTGGTTTTAAAACACATTTTTGCTAAACCGATTCAAATTAATAAATATTTGCCAGGCAATATGGCCGCTAGTAAACGACCAGCTTTGAGCAATCTATATAACTATATATGTATCATTGACCCTGTTAATGACAACATGACAACAGGGTTGCCATATCTAAGCTGTCATTACCCACTGGTAGCCATTTGGACAGGTCGTTGGAATGCCTAATTTATTTTTCTCGTTGCAACTATTATAGTTGTATAGTGTTTTTCAGGAAAGTACGCAATTAATGTTGAAGTGTGACAGCAGTGTAAAGCAAACTTGTAGTACACGTAAATACTGTCTCCTTCTTTCTAATGCGGCAGCTCTGTCTGCGTAATAATAAACACAATTTGAGTGATTGCAATAAAAAAGGGTTTAATTATGGATGAATGGATTAGTCTAATAGTTTTTCGTCGTTGGTAAAACCTAACAACTTCACAGTTTTGGTCTCTGGTAATGGTGTACCCAGTGACACATTCATATTTTGATGAATTATCCAATATGACTGGACAAGTTTAATTTGTTATGTTTAGTAAAACCTAACAACTTTACAGTTTTAAGCTCTGGCAATGATGCAGTCAGTGGCACATTCATGTTTTGTGATTTATTTTAATTTACTTAAGCCAATTTGCCGTAAAGCAGCTACTTGCTTTTTCTTCCAATTTATTCAGACTAGGGAGTAGCTATCACTTGAATAATTTAAGGTAGTATCGTCAGCAAATAATATAATATTGTGATAAGGTTTCATAAAATTACATAAATAATTTATGTATATGATAAAAATGAGATAATGGCCCCAGAATTGATCCTTGCGGAACTCCTGTACTTACAGGCTTTAAAATACACTTTGAAACCGACTGCTGAGATATGATTTAAAAAGATTGCAGTTCCTCGAACCCCATAGTAACTGAGCTTTTCAAAAATGATATTGTGTGACACACAGTTAAAAACACACTCGTACAAACTTTGATTTTTCAATACCCTCAACGATGTAATCAACGGAACTCATTGCAGCATCAGACGTTGACCGATTTGAACGAAAACCAAATTGATGAGCAGAGAAAAGATTATTTAATTCAAAATAATGAAAAAGTGGAATCGGACGCTAATTATAAATTACTTTTGCAAATTTAAACATACCTGGGAAACTACCAGTGAGAAAAATATTGATTAAATTTGTCAGAAGAACTAATATAATATCAATAGTTTATTTTATAAGCTTAGCGTTAATCTCATGAATATCTGCAAATTTTTACAACATCAAGAACCTTTTTTGTAACTGAAGAAAGAAAAAATGATGAACAGGGAGCTGAAAATATTTTAACCTTAAATAAATAGAACCCAAAGCCATATGTTACAAAATAGAAGCGACAGTTTCCTTTCGAAGCGACCTACTTCTTTGGCTAATACCCTAGCAGGTGTTGAATTATATCTAAAGGAAATACAGTAAAGATAGAAATTAAAATTTCAATTCTTTCAATGCTCACTAAGGAGAACGTCATTCTTGAATCGGTTTCGTCCTCATTAGGAATCTTCAGCTCAGCAAGAAATAGATGGTTCTCAATTCCAGTCTTTAATGGAATTAACGAAGGCAACACATTCAGTAGTATACAATAATGTTGGTTACGAAAAGAATAAGAATTCAAGTAGTGAAAATGGTGTCGCCATCTGTTCCTAGTAAATAAAATCAAAGGTCGCTTGTTGTACCCAGTTATAAAATTAGGTGGAACCAAAAAACCAGGCTGGTAACACCATTTTCACTACTTGAATTCTTATTATTGTCTTAACCAACAATATTGTATACTAGTGAATATGTTGCCTTCGTTAATTCCATTAGAGACTGGAATTGAGAATCATCTATTTCTTGCCGAAGAATCCTAATAAGGACTAAACCGGACCAAGAATGGCATTCTCCTTAGTGAGCAAAATCAAAGGTAGATTATTGAAATTTAATTAATTTCTATCTCTGTTGTCTTTCCTTTGGATATAATGCTATACCTGTTGGGAATTACCCAAAGGAGTAGTTGTTTTCCGAAGGAAATGGACCCTCCTATTTTCTGACATATGGCTTCGAGTCTTATTATTTTACGTCTTGGTCACATTTCAGTTAAAATTATTTTCTTTCTTTTTTTTTTTTGTTATAAATAAGTCATTAATTTGAAAAACTGGTATATATACTTTACGAAATTCTCCGGCACATTTGAAAAGAAATTGTTAAAGTAATTTGGGGTTAGTCTTTCACTTTCAATAGTTTTTTATTTTGAAGTTTACCAAATGCCAACTTGCTTTGGATTTGTTATCTGCTTTGGCCATGCAATTTTCATATATTCATTCTTTTTTACACGTTTTAGTTCAATATTATAGTTTTTCTCAAAGCTTTTAAAATTATAAACAACAACTGGGCCTTCAGTAACATCACAAATAGTGTTTAACTTTGACAAAAAATCGCTTTGGTGAACTAACAAACAGGCAGTTTATTCAAAATACTTTTTCTGAAGCGAAAAATGTCTTTCAATAAGATTCGTAAATGACTATTGTCTCCAGATTTCTAGGTATCTACATCGATATTCAGCTACAGTTCATCAAATTTCTAGAGGCTTTCGACGGCTAGACAGAGAAAGCACTACTGACAGGCATCCCGACGGATTTACGCAATGAAAGTACACTCTGCGCATCAAGTATTTCACTATTTCATTCAGACGTAAATGTCAGATGTAAATTTCGCTAAAACATTTCTTTTATTTTCGTTTGTGTTTTTTGCTCATTACAGTTTAATAGAACCTAAGTATGGAGTTTAATAGCAAATTAAGAGGCCGCGTGATTAACAGTCAATCTCGCGAAATAATAGCCAATGTTATAGAGTTTATGAGAAGAGAAGGAAACTTTAATTCACCTTCAATACCATTTTAAAATGTAAATGATCGTGTTGCTGCAGCCACAGGAGTATCTAAAAACACTGTCGTCCGCATTTCTGGAGAGAAAAAAAGAATCGATAACCGTGAGATATCGGAATTTTCATCACCAAGAAAAACCATTAAAAAACCAAAAACAGTTAATGATATAGATGAAGCTGCACAATAATCAAATTTTATTTTTTTATTATTAGATAGCTATTTTTGTTTCTGAGTTGTGTTCATTTACAGGCTCAATTTTTTTCCGTTTCTCCTTTTTGATTTTATATGGGGTTTCAAGTTGTTTTTGACTTATTTCGACGTAAATCACAACAACACACTTTTTTAATAAAGCAAACAAGTGTTAAGAGGTATATGTACGTGTAAACTACAATTACAAAAAATTGATATGAAACCCATGAAACCACCAACAAAAATGTAAAGCTAGCTTCCGTACTAGAACATGGTGTCATTCGTCGAGATAATTTATCGTTTTGTTTAACAGATCAAGAAATGTAAATATTGCCCTGTTATTTTTTATAAAATTATAAGAGAAATAAATTTTTTTCTAAATAGTATAGTTTATTATTTTGTAGAAAAAGAAAATTTCGAAAATTTTAGTAATGTTTCAGAAACAACCGTTATTAATAATAGGTACCATTTTCCTTAATAAGGTAGAAATAAAATATAAACTATTTCCACGATTTACAAAGGCCTACAAAAAAATTATAGGTATTTTTCGCTATCCTATAAAATTTATATTTTCTGACTCAATTTCAAAAGGTTGAAGGAATTCCAAAACACCTTTTATGGCATAATAATTATTTTCAATTCTACATACTATCTTTAGCTGCTTTTAAAAACGTTCTAAGAAAGTCCAATCAGACCAATTTAATCCCTAAACTATTCCACACTTTTAAAATTTAATTACCTAAAAATATTAAAAACTATTTAAAATAACTTGTTTAGCAGACTGTACAATAGCTATCTTAGTCACACGTAGCGCGTTCTCGGTCTGGGCGTCGAACACCTCTAGAAATTTGATGAACTGTAAAATTTGATGAGCTTGAAACTTTAAACAAAAAAATTCGCCTCGAGAGAATTTGCTATGTTCATTTATACGTTTCTTAGGCCTTCTGCAATGTCTATTTATTTTGTCCTAATTTATTTTACAGAGAAAGGCCTCGATCATGTGGCGGAAAACATACTTTCATATTTGGACGCCGACAGTCTCAGAAATGCCGAATTAGTTTGTAAGGAATGGTTCAGAGTGATCTCCGAGGGTATGCTGTGGAAAAAACTGATAGAAAGAAAAGTGAGAACGGATTCCCTTTGGAGGGGCTTGGCGGAGCGACGAATGTGGTAAGTTATTTAAATAGTATTTTACATTACGAGTGCGAAAAGTGGCAATTCTCACACTTTAATACAAGTAATATACATTAGTTTTCTTACGACCAAAAAATATAAAACTAGGAAGTCTCACCGTGGAGGTTCAATCAAGATGTGGCTGGTCCTAGGTTTGGATTTTATTTGTCTTATTGGTTTTGAATCAATATGAAAATATTTTGCTAATGTTGTTCTGTCAAAATTAAAGACATTGCGATTTAATTTACAAACGCTTTCTAAGAATGATAAAGATAAATATTAGGTACAAAAAACTATTATAATGCAATAGGTAATGTTTTTAATTAGTTTAGTGTTACCTTCTTTTTGATTTGTACGATGTAAATTGTACTTAAGAAGTGATTTAGCTCAAATTGCTGGTACTGCACGGATTCATAAATTGACCAGGACAAATTATTATTTTGTTAGATTAAGCACTTAATTACAAATAATTATCTTTTATTCATTTATTGTGTTCTCAAAATAAAATAAAATTTATGTGTCTGATCTTTAAATGACTTTTGGGAGGGTGGGTGGGTGGGTGAGGTTTTCCGGGTTTTCCTCACCTGTAAGTCAAATGGCACCATCAGTCATCTTTAAGTCGCCCCGGAGCGCCACGGCAAATAATAATAATAGCCGTCCCTTCCCCTACACAAGTCGTTCAGTCGACTTCAGGGGTTGAAATTCACTCGTAAGGGGGTGAATTAGGGAGAGTATTATTATAAAAAAAAAAAATGTTATGTAAGATATTTCAAATATTATGTTTCCGAGTAGGAAATTGCAAGATCTATCAAAATCAATAAAAAAAAATTGGGGTTACTATTTAAAAAAATTGTCAATGACGTCACTGCCCAAAAATGGGAAGTGGGGGAAAATTGAATTATATTTAAAAAATTGCGCTTTGAGTAAACAAAATTGACCTGTCCGAGCATTTTTTCGAAAAACCAACTACTTCCATTATTATGAATTTATTCCTTTCATTTGAACCATAATGTATAGTTAAAATGTAGGTAATTATTTTTTGTACTGTAATCAAAAGCTGAAAATTGGTTTTTATACACATTTTTGCTAAACCTATTATGAATAATGAACACTTGCGAGGCAATATGACCACTCGCAAAGCGACCCGCTTTTAGCATTCCAAACAAAATGGTTACCTATTGGCATTGATATGGCAACCCTGTCGGCCTGCAGGATTTGACACGGTCAACGATATAAATAGTTATATAGATTGATCATGCACGTTTTTCAAAATAAACATAAGATTATGCCTATAAGTAAAAAAGTAGGTCATATATTTTTTTACTGTATTTAAATCAGACTAAAAATTGGTTATAAATCACATTTTTACTAAACCGATTCTGATTCATGAGCACTTGCGAGGCAGTATAGCCGCTTGCAAGGCGACTCACTTTGAACAATCTATATAATTATAATATCATTGACCCAGCAACTTTGCCAGGTTCTTTGGAATGCCTAATGCTGCTCGTGGTTAATGACAGGTTACGATATGGCAACCATGTGGACCTGTTGTCTTTGACAGGGTCAATTATATAGTTATTTAGATGTAGATTGCTCAATGCGAGTTGTATTGCGAGCGGCCATATTGCCTCGAATGTGTTTTAAAACCAATTTACAGCCTTAGAATATAGTTAAAAAAAATAATTACTTACATCTTACATTTTTACTTTAAGCCATAAGCTTTTGTTAAAATTGAAAAACATGGATGATCAATCTATATAATTATCTATATCATTGACCCTGTCAAATCATCAGGCTCACAGCGTTGCCATATCATAACCTGTCATTACCTACTGGCAGCCATTTTGTTTGAGTGCCTAATACAGATAAAAAAAAAATGGAGTACAGTAGTTAAGCCGAGTTAAGGTTATACTATACCCCTGTAGAAGCCGTCTTTCCATTGTGTATGATCTTAAATATTGTAATGTTTTATTTTTAGTAATTTAATGATTGGTTCAATAAGAGTTTATGGTACGTTACAAATGTGATGTGTCCAATGATTAATATATTATATTTAGCGGCGGATCTCTGGTGGTTTAATCATTTTCTGTCCAGTCGGTTAGCTGATTCAAGGAAATTTCCGCTTATTAATTTTACGTGGTAGTTGAAAATTATTAAAATATTTACAGAATATGGTTTCACGGTATTTCATCCTAAATATCGTAAATTGGGAGTAATAACAGCTTATCTTATAAATAATAATAACGAAATAAATCTTTTTATTCCAAGTGACCTTGAACGGTTATGGGAAAAGTCAAAACATTGCGTACAAATTATTTGTGAATTAAAAATAGAAAATACAAATAAAAGTTATTGTAAATATTGTTTAATTTAAAAATAGATTATTTATTTAAAACATTTTATTTATACTGTTACTAATTAATTTATTTGTAATACTATTTAACTATTTAATTTACTTTATCCATGTTCTTACTACTATAACTTGACCTCGACTGAACGACTTTCTGTGCAACACAGCCCATTTATATATAAATTGGTGTACGCGCTAGATTATTCTCGTTCTCACCATTTATTAGACAGGCGACTCCAGCAATTTCTCGAATTTACTTTTAGTACATTCCTAAATGAATGATTCATGTCGGCTATCTGTGAACATAGGCGTCCCCTTAATCAAATATTCCTGGTTTTAAGGATAAGTGGGGTCGTAAAAAGGCCCAAACAAGGCAGAGAGGTCCATAGGATCAAAGCATGACCAGATTGGTCGGAAATGGCTCACAATACATTATGAAATAGAAGCCTCTTACTACAACTCAAATCTAAAACAAACTTTACTTGTTTTTCTTTTCTTATCGACTTTTATTTTTTAAGTAGAATAGATTATCAGTTATAATTGCTCTAGAAAAATAGTTGATTGGTAATTTTTTGTGTGAAATTGACATTCAGCATCGAAAATCGAGTTTATTTATTCAAAAACCCAGAAGAGCGCCGGCGCCGTCACAAATCAAAGGGATTTCTAAAACCAAATTATGATTACAAGTGTTGAGTTCGTGTACATGGTGAGACTATCGCCCTCTGCCGAGTTCAAATTAAACTCGTCAAGAGACCCGCGTAAATTCTATTATGTTCAAATAGGACGGAGCAAAGTACATCGAGTAAATTATCCTGCACCACTTCGGTGAGACGTGATTTGGGAACAAGATTGCGCAGTAATCAATACTCGTTTGTTATTTTGGGGTTTATGGATATTTATCTTTTTTTTTATCCCCCATGTTGTTGAAAATTTTTCAGTATTTTCGTTTTCAATGAATATCTATAGAAAAATGTTTCGAGTTAGATGTATGTGGAAAATGTATATATTTAGTTTATCTTCTAAACATTTATAGAGGTGCTGCAATAGGTTGTACAAAATAACCGGAAAAAGCCTATAATAACTAGATAGGAAAGTCATGTGTTGGACACATCAGATTTTTACATATAAAATTAATTTAAAACAATGTATATTGTATATAAGACCATATAGTACTTTTTAGTTAATAAAATTAATCTAGTTTATTATATACTTTTTTACGTAGATTAAAAAAGTTTAAAAACTTGGTGCTGTCTTGGTGCGTCGTACGATTTCACTTTGTATATGTTTAGGTACAGATAATTATTGATACTGACAGTTTATTTTTAAATCATTAAAATAATATTGTGTTAATTCTAAAAAGGCAAACAAAAAATCCTTGCCCATACAGTGTAACAATAAAAATTAAATATATAAATATAGCATGTTATGTATTAAGGGACTAAAATAGTCCTAAGGGAGTAAAAACGACACTTTAGTCCCTAAAATGAAGGAGTAAATTGCATGTTTTAGTTCCTTCGGTACAAAAAATATTTATTTATGCAACAAGTGTGTAAAGTTACCCTTTTTTGACGAATGTGAATGTTGTCGCACTCACCTACGGCTTGTGCGACAATCACATGAGTCAAAAAAGGGACTTTACACACGAGTTGCATACAATATTTTTTCTACTGCCGTACACATTAACAGTAATATTAGAAATATAAAAGTTTCTTTTTTCACTAATGCGTAAAGTACGTACTGATTTGGCTTTAGAAATAGATCTTTACTTTTGTCGTGTTCTGTGATGATATACTAATAAAAGTTTAAAGATTGACAGTTCTTCTAATCCACAAAGCCACGGCCTATTTACTTTTACCAAAATCGACATCCACGGTTTGTTTACTTTTAATTAAATCGATGACATTTAGAGAAAATTATAATTAAAATAAAAAATACATGTGGAACTCAGGGACTGCCGCGGTAAAGCTATTGCATAGCATTTTTTATCAACTCATGCAATTATAATTATTTATTTATTTATTTATTTTATTTATGCAGTATTTTTAAGCTATTGCATAGCTTTTATCGCGGACTTTGAGCGCGGCGACCGAATCAAGAAATTCCGTAACGCGTAACGAAAAAAAACCCAACACCCCCCACTCCGACCGGCACAGCGGTGCGGCGTTAAACCGTATTAACTTCTCATTTATTCAATAAAAGAAAATCGAAAAATCAAAAAATCGAAAAAGAAATTCCGTAACGAAAATAAACCTAACACCCCCACTCCGACCGGCACAGCGGTGCGGCGTTAAAAGCCATGCATCGTCTAATGTCGTTTCAGTTCGGCAGACTTCGGCACGGTGTTTATGTGCGTGCGACTAGACGTATGCGTGTAGACTAGCTGCTAACTGCTCATAACTGATTCTATCTCTTTTAGACACAATTTCGGAAAAATTGAATTTGAAAATGAATAATGATCCACAAGAATCCACAACAAAATATGGGACCACCATTTACGAGGTATTTTCCAGATATTTAGAGGATATCAAGTCTCAAACTTATGTTTCTTATTTCAGTTACTATAAACCTATAGTTTCAATGATAAAAATTCCTGAATAACCTACATGTATTGTAAGATAATAAAAATATTTTAAACAATTAGGTATTA